ACAAGAACGAGGGGAGATTGTCACGTACGTATTCGGACGAGCTCAATGTTTAGCCTGGTTGGCTCCATGGGCAGGTTCCGCAGTTGATCGTCCAGACCCCCAAGCATGGGAGGTGGCCGGGTCGCCTGCTGGAAGGCGCGCACAAGTTGAGGGCCGTCGATGTTCCATTCGTCATTGATTATGTGATTGGTGACCTTGAGGCGGGCCGACAAGATCAGACGCAGCATGGCAAAGACGGACTTTGGTCTAAGCGTGCCCGTTTCGTCGGTGACTACGATGCGGAAAGGGTCTGAAACAGACCCGAGAGAGGACGAGTGCGCATCCTGGTGGTCTGGTATCTCGAAAGCAGCTTCTCCTTCGGCGCCTAGCGTTGGGCTGTGGCTATCGGCCAGACCGCCGGCAGCGACTTCAACCTGGAGCAGCGCATCTTGAATGTCGGACAGGTTGAGATGGGCGTAGGCATTGCCCTGCAGCACAACCTTGACGTTCTTGGAGCTGCTCCTGGGAGATCCGGATGCCGTGGGCCTGGGAGTTTTGGCGGTGATGTCAGCTTATCATCCAATGCAGACAGGTACAAGCGAGAGGCAGCGTGAATAGGCGCGCATTGAGTTTGCGCCACAACGATATAGGGGTTTACACGAGGGGTTTCGCAGCGGGATTATTAAAGCCCCGTCATTTCTTTTTCTCTTCTCTCGCTTTTCTTTTTCTTCCACGCACTCCTCGTCCGACCGCTTGGCCATCCGATTGGGGGACGTGAAATCTGCCGGCACGGCATAGAACGGCACTCCAGTAGCGAGCCAGAGGGAAGTGGGTTGAAGCTTCGGCCTTGTGGGGGAGCTGAAGTGTAGTCTGTTTGATTCCCCACAGGCGCTCCGAAGTCCCTGTCGGCCCCCAAGAATAACGGCTGGCCGTGAGTGGAAGAGAGGTGGGAGGGATGTGCAATAGTGGAGGGCGTCTATTCTGTTTCTTTCGACAACTAACCTCTTGACGTTTCGTTTGGTGTTGTACTCGCACGTCGGCTGCGGGAATCGACGGGTACAGTTGCTACACGGTCTGCCTTGGTCGCACTACGCAAGGTACGAGTCAGCTTGAAACTCTTCTTTTCTTCTTCTCTTCTTCTCCGTTTCTTCTTTTCTTTTCTTCTTCTTCTTTTCTTCCCTCTCAGCTGCAATTCAGCCCTCGACGCTACTGGCTGGCCACGGGGCCGGACGATGCCCGCCCATGCCAGCCTAAACCGCCAGGGGGTTCGGACATGATGATACTCGTCCACATCTAGGGCTACCGACATGGGAAACGCCCCCAGAAAAAAAAGGGCTCTGGGTAGCAGCAGCGGCACTCAGTTCAGACTGACCTTTTGCTTGCGACGGCGACACTCGGTGCACGAATTGCCCCTAGCCTTGATGGTCGTGTTCGTGCCTAGGCGGCGCTGATGGGGTGGAAGCCCCTGCACCTGCATTGTGTCGGACATTTAAAAGCTGGGCGGCGCGACCGATGGCGTAGCGAAGAGAGGGAAAAAAAGTGGTCAAGAATGACGCCGGCGGCGATGATGCGGTGAGCCGCCTGAGGCGAACCAAAAAGAAAAGAAATAAACAAGGAATAAGGCAGACAATCTTCTTTAATAAGGCGCACGCTTCCCTTCTTCCCTCCTTGCCAGGTTTTCGGATTATTTGTTCTCTTTGGTAATTTTCTTTCTTCCCTTTTCTTTTTCTATCTTCTTTGTCGTAGCTGGTCAATATGCTGCAACCCCAAAAAGAGATAACGGCTTTTTGACAGTTCGCGCCACGCCTTCAGCCGCAGATTTGTCGAGCTCCGGCAGCCAGTCAGTTCTCCTGTGTCGGCAAAAAAATAAGAAAAGGGTGTGGACGTCGCTTTGCATAAATTGAAACCTTTTAGGGCTCTAGCGTGCAGGAGCTGCAGTTCAAAGTCGGACAGCAAAAGAAAATAAGCCGTCGGTCGGCAGATGCGGTGGCCTTTGCAGGAGGCTAAGCTTGGCAGCTGAGGCTCTGCGCGGGAAACACCTGAAGCGAGAGTTTTTGTCGTCTTGTCTTGTCGCAAAACTGGAAGCGCTGAGTGAGGGGAGTTGGATGAGGGGAACGAACGAGCTGGTCTCGAGGCAGCGAGGCCGGAGAAGAGGAGATGGACGAAGTTAACAGCAGCGCGTTACACAGGAACGGCAACGGATGGAACAATGGCTTGTGTAGCGCTCACGTTGTCTGGCTGCGCACAGACAATGCCGAGGACAAGAGGATCTGTCCGTGTCGCGAAGACAAGACCAGGCCGACGAGGTGTCAAAGAAAGGAAGAATGAAAGAATGGCGAGAAAAAGGGGGGCGGGTATCGACAGTCGAATGGGAATTCGTCGGCAGCAGCAGTCCGTCTGTCTCGAGTCCAGCTTCTGCTCCCCTCGTCCCGTCTCTTGTCGTTTCTCTCTCAATCCAGCCTTCGGCACGCTCCGAGCATCTCCTGACCGGCTTAGCGATGGAATGCACTGCAATCAATCAATCAATCAATGGTCGCTGCGAATCGAACTCGACAACGAATGGCGGAAAAGCGGACAGGCGACAGCAGCGATATCCAGCCTCAGCGACTCGGATGAGGGCTCCAGACGTCGGGTGTAACGCCAGCAGGGCCCAACGACGTGCGAGGCCCGGCAGCGCTGCTCGAATCTCGATGGCCCGCTGGTGATTGGGTGGCTCGACGGCATTCCAGGGAGATGAGATGTGCGGCTTTCGAACAAGGCCCTGTCGTGTCTAGAATGTCGCTGCCTCGGGGGCTTCTGGCGGTCCCGGCGGCGCTGCTCGCTTCTCCGGATTTGCGACAAGCGATGCGACCTTGGCGGAGAATTGTTCCGCCTTTTTCCTTTCAACCCTTCAATCTCTTTTCGATCCTTGACCTGGATGGAACCTGAATCCCCCTTTTTTCTTGTGTCTTCCAGCGTCTTCTGGTGTCTTTTCTTCTTTTTCTATTTTTAACGAGATAGAGAGAAACAGAGACAGGCGGGATTTGCGTGTTTCAACGAAAAAAGGGCAGTCAGAACGCGGCGCAAACGACGACTCGGAAGCCGGACGGTTCAGAAAAAAGAAAAGAAAAGAAAAGAGACTAAAGGAATGGCCTGATCTGGCCCGTGAACCGGTCGGTGGCTGACGGGCCGTTAAATAAGGGCTGGGGACCGGATTACTGGAGCGAGTTTAGCAAGTGGCATCGAATCCGATCCTTTTGCTTGTTTGCCAGGAAAGAGGAGATTGGAGATTGGAGCTTGAGCTCGGCTCTTGTGCCTGTCGTCAGTCCTTTTAGCGCCCAGGGAGAAAAGAGGGGTCTCCAGACTCTTGCGCTGCCAGAAGAGCCTCATCAGCGGCCACGCAGCGCCGTCTTTTCTCGTCTCTCTGTTGCTGCCCTTTCTTTTGGCGCCGCTGACGTTTTACGGAGCGCACAGCATTCGGCGCATGTAGTCATGAAGAGAAAATCGACTTGAAAGGTAGCGTTGCAGTGCAGTGCAGTGCATTGCATTTGCTACTTGCAGCGCTGCACTTCGACGCGCTCCCTGCATGATCTTCTTCGTCGACACCCGCATCTGGCGCTTTTAGCACCGCGGCAGAGGCCACCAGAACTGCTAACCCGCTCCCGTTCCTGAGCCTTTAGTGGCCTCTAGTGGCGTTTAGTGGGCACCTCGGCGTGCTAGAGCTCTTACTGTGCTGCGTGTGGGGTTGATGCGGAGTTGGCCGTCCTTGTTCAGCTGAGAGCGTATCTGCACTCAAAGACGCAGCAAGATAAGTCCACATCAGTCTGTGTGATGTACTGTACTGTACGTGTCTGTGCCTCTGTCTGTGCAGTTATCTGCACATTCCATACCGTGACAATCGTAGACGTAGCCACTGCCATCAACAAACACCTACAGGTCCATCAGCGCTCGCAAACTGACTCTTTGTGGGCTGTTACCGTCAACCAACATTGCGCCGAGCATCACCGACCAACAACATCCCGAGTGGAGAAGGCCTTTTGTCCGTCCAACGGCCAAGGCCGGTCAGACAGAATGTCGTGGAAACCCTGAGATTCTAGGTGTCACGTCCTTTGAATATTGGTACTCTTCTTGGGAATAATTGCTAATATTTCCCCAATTATATTGGACCTACATGTAGTCGGACGACGCACTCTAGACCGGTAGGTGTAAGTACTGCAGAGAGTAACATACAGTCTAGATTGTCAGATTTCCACATCTACTGCACGTAAGCAGAAATGGCCGCTAAGCCGCCGCACCGCATATCCTTTATCTACCTTACTCAGTATGTATGTATCTTCCATGCATCCGGCACGGCTCTCCTCTCATCAGCTCCATCAACTTGCTGTACGTAAACAATGCAACCCCATCGTCCCATCATCCCTCAAACGGCTGTCCAACTACAAATCCCCGTTGGCTTTTTGGCTTTTGGTCTCCTGGCCAATCAACAGCGCCAGATACTCTCATGTTTACCCTGCCAAGGGCCCATCTTACCTCTCATAGGTCCATCCCAACAAGAGGATGCCCATCCTCGAGATCGGGCTGGCCGTATCACGCTGATACATGCACTTGCTTGGAGGTATGTCGCGCATAGCCTTAAACAAGCCACCGCTCCTCATCGAGAAAGGATCGATAAAAAACCCCTGCGGAGTTCAGATTGCATGATCATGATCATCGCTAGTACATGCTTGCCTACGTACACCATCATACTAGTATCTCATCTCGTCCAACTGAGAAAAAGTTACATGTACATGTGACAAATGGCGCCATCAACACAGCAAAGCAGTAGCTTGGGTCACGGCACTGATCTATCTTAACGATTACATCAGGTCCATCTTCATTTGTTGGTCACATAGTAGTAGTTAGTAGTACATATACGCAGGTTTGCTCTTTGAATTTATCAAATAATTTGGTCCCAAAACCGTAAAAAGCTATACTGGTGTATTTCATTTTCCCTATTTGAAAGTGCCGCCGCCGCCCATGGTATCAAAGCAAGACATTGTCATAACAACTCAAAGATCCAATTCCTCCATCATTCCCTCTTTCTGCGGGTAACAAAAGTTAAAAATATAGACAAAGAAATGTAATTCGAAAAAGCATTCAATCATGCCCTCATCACATCACCAATTTGATTCCGATAACGCCGTTATTCCAACTCTTTTAATTCATTTCCCACTCGTTAATACTGCAGATACTCTGGCTTCCGTGCCATGTTGATGGGAGGCGGCCTCTCATCATCGTCTAGTGGGTAAGGCGGGATCGACGTCTCCGAGTCTCTAGGCCGGTGGCCATATTCCGAAATGGGCGTCTTTGGTGGCAGAGGCGGCGCCATCTTGGCCGGCACTGCTGGCGGCTCTGGCTGAGTGGGCGACTTGAGTGACAGCGGCGCCGGATACTTTGGCTCCTCGTCGGGGCTCATAATGGCAATCTTGTCATCAGCAAATGGAGGAATCCTGTACTGGTTTGGGGACGACATGTCAACCACGTTGCTGTCGAGGACAGGGGCCGGTTTTCCGTAACGAGAGTGCCCGGTGCCCGGTCGAATGTGGTCGCTAGAGACTCGGGGCGAAGACAGGGTATTTGCCTGTAGATGTAAACTATCCGGCGCAGAATCAAAGGATGAACGGCTCCGGGGGGTTTGCGGGCTGTGTGCAAAAGTTGTTGGCATGTCACCGGGGAGTTCGATGGCAAAAGGTTGCTCATAGTTGGTGTCTGAAGTCGACTTGACCAACTCGGGCACGTTGGCAGAGTTGCGCTCCCATCGAATCTTTGCTCGGTGGATCTTGGCAAGCCTTGTCGAGATACCGTGGATCATCGTCTGCTCGTCTGGATTGGACATGTATCGTCGAGTACCAGTGCTGATTTCGCTGAGTCGGTTCCACTCATTCATGCCAAACTCACCAACGCCCACTTCGACGTTGAGGCGGTAGTAGTTTTCGACATTAACGCCGCGCTTTGAAAGATGCTCGTGGAGCATGTACTCGTGAATCTTTTCGCAGCCTTCAATCTTGGAGATCATCTTTCTCCGTGCCTCGGCGAATTCACCCAGGAATCCCTCGTACCATACTTGCTGGTTCCCGTCACTCCCACGAGGCCGCCTTCCAGTGCCAACGCTGACAAACACTCCCACTTCTCGTCCCGGCCATTCGTTAATCACTGCCTCATCCAACGCCTCGGGTGCGGGGTTGAAAGTGCCAGCGCCATCGTCGTGGAATATCGACTGGCCAATCTGAACAGGCTTGAAGGCCAGACCGATCGAGCAAGTCGCCCGTCCGGCCTCCCAGATCTTGCAGTCAAACTCTGGCGGAGGCTCTTTGCGAGAGTCGTATGAGCGCAGCAACACGGGGGGTGATCCTCGCTGGGATCCCTTGTACATTGCTGTTACGGCACTGTATATATCATGTTAGCCTTGGGATCAGAAATTATATACATAAGACGATAGAAGACGCGGGGGAGGAGAGGGGTTAATCTTGTAGCTTACGTCTTGGTTCTGTGCTCTCGGGCATCGTATAATCTTGCGTTTCCGTTGCCATGTCTCATATTCATCATCGGTCGAGTAGATACCTGGCCAGAAGGATGGCGCGCACTGAAACTAAGAGTACTGGCGTTGCTAGTGTGTCGCTTTACAGATCCTGAGCTTGAGCGACTTGATGAACGCAGGGGGTTGACGACTTCTACCTCGTGGTCGTTGCCTTCTTTTCCGTGGACCGTATGTTCCCAAACTCCCTGCTTGATGGCCTCCTCCAGTTTGCTGGCCTTGAAAAGCGTGGATCGGTATGGAATGCCCGCAATCGTCTTGTCCGTCTCAAACACCATCTTCGTCATCCGGACGTACAGCTCCTTGCAAGTCTCCAAGTCCAGGCGCAGCCTGCCCAGCATGATTGCGATCAAGCCGCCGGTGCCTGTGCCGATGATGAGGTCAAAGTGCTCGCATGGCTTCGGGATTTCGTGTCGTTTGGGTGCGCGGCCTTCGGTTTCGACAAAGGTTCGGTGCATGAGTTCCTGGATGATGATGAGCATGGAATAGCCTCGAACGCCTCCGCCGTCTATGATGGGTCCAGTGTTAGCAGCGATCAAGAAATAAGTAAAAAAAACAGAGTCACGCCATGTCATACCAAGAGACAGGATGCGCAGAGGCGGCCCTTTGGTGGTGTCCGACCTCCGGACTCCATACGAGTCCATTGACATGGCTGGCTGTTCGGCGCGAAGCTCTTGTCGATGTGCGCGCAATACCAGGATCCGCCGGATTACGAGATGGACGTTCAAAAAGGTTCAAGAACAAGAGTCGCGTCAAGAATGTAGCGCGAATAGACCCAGCCGAAGCGCAGTCGCCCAAGTGTAACTTTGTGTGTTTCGAATCCAAGTTGAGAAAGCCGCTTGCTTTTTGGTGTGCTCGATTGTCGGCCCCCGCCAAGTTCGGATGCGCTGGTGCTTCTGGTGGTGTTTTCGCTGTATCGCCGTCGCAATGCGGATAAATTGGGTCCGCAGACAGTATGAAATCACGAGGCTTGACGAAGATTGTGTCGCGAGGCGCAGTGGATAATGTGTCACCCAAAGCAGGTACCAAAAGTAAAATGGAAATCTGAAAAGGAAAAAGAATTAAACAAAGAAAACAGAAGAATACACTCGATGATTCATTAATTATATTCTATCCAATGTGCCGTGACGCAATCGCCCGGGTATACGAAGGTAGCCCTGCTGCTCTGCGTTCGGGGAGGGACCAGCAGCGAAGCGAGGGGCGCAGCGCCGAAGAAGCACTAGGGCGCCCACCAGGCAAACGTCACAGGGTCCTTTAGGCTCTTTGACCCAGCGGGTTGGCGGATTTCTGGCGTCTGTGGACCCTTCCAGACAGCGCCTAAGGCGTGAGACGATCGGCTGTGCGTGTCAGCGAAGATCAGGAACGGGCTTGCCGGGTCATGCGAAGCTGCAAGTACCGAAGCTGCCGCGCAGAGATGCTGCAGACGAGAGATCAAGTTTTTTGTTACGATATAAAGATTATTTACTTCGCTTCTTCCGTGTATCTTAGAAGCATCTTGGAGCCGAATTGCCGCGGGACAGTGCCGGATGGGAATGGAGATGGAAGCATAGAAGCGGAGAGAAGCCGACCCGATTGAGTGAGACGATACATGCAGGAATGGGTGTTCAATAATATAGTACCAAGGCACCAGACTACAGGCAGCCAAGAGCCCAAGAGCCCACGAGCAAGAGGCCACTGATGCCAAGTCTTACCTGTGCCGTCACGAGGGAAGTCTAATGTGACAGCTTGGGCGATAGTATTTTCTCTTTTCTCTTTTACTCTTCTTTCACTTCTATTGCATCTATGGCAGATGGAATAATATCAGCATGATTACAGGTAGGTAGGTATACTCGCAGAACCCTTCATCGAGTGCCTTCGGTGGATCAATCAGCAATCAAACTAGCTAGGTAGAGCCAGCTGCCGGAGATGGAAAAGCGAACCCCGTGTTTGTGTTTCTCGCGCTTTGTTTCGTGGGGGGAGCTTTTGAGGCTGTGCAGATTGGGCCGATACAGCAAGACGATCTATGGAGTGCGCCACGTGAGGCCATGACTGGCACGGCAGCTTTCAACGAGATGCCAAATCGCATTTTCCCCATGCGGAATGACTGTGCCTATTTGAAACGCGTTGGTTCTGATAGAATGCCCAAATAGTTGATGCTGGCTGGACCCCAGCGTCCGTTGCATCTGCATCTCTGTTCGCACCTACACGTACTAACGTACCAAGAAGAAGCAGTACATGTAAGCTGATAAAAGGGCCTTCTATGGCATGTCATGATTACAACGGATTCAAACTGCGCCTCTTATGCGCGCTCTATTCGATGCCAGCAAGGAAAGGCCATAAATGTGCAAGAGGCGCCATATATTTAGATTAACTGTGACATGCTGCTCTTTCTGACCTCCTCCCACAAGTAAATGTTGCGAGGCAGCCGGCTTCATCGCACTGTGCGTCTGTATGCATACAGAACAAGATCGTACAGTGCAAAGAACCCAATGCAACATTCGCCTGCGAGCGCTTTACGTCAAGATTTCGTACCAAAAAGATTGATACTACGGATAACAGCATCTTCCGTCCCCAGAAAGCTAATTCAGATTGGAGGCGAAGAGCCGGTGAGCATGAGCAAGGATGACTTTCCTTCTCTAGCGCTGGCGTTACGAGGAGGCGCAGATATGCTGCCCTTGGCATGTGTAATCATGGCGCCTATGTCTATGTCTTTGAGCGCTGAATTGTATCTAGACGGGTACATACCTATTCAACTACTTTTCTACGATGGCGGCGGCAATAATTACATACACTTCAATATCTACATGCAGCCTTGTGGTCTTCTTGTCGTGCCTGTAATCTGCTGGGTGGGATTCAAGGGAGAGAAGCGACAGGGATAAAAATAGAAATGTGGCTGGTAATGATTGGCACTCGTCCATCGCTTTACAGCTGTGGCTGGCCAGTTCCATTACGCGTAGGCGCCACATTTCTCTAGTACTTCAACCTGCGGTGGCGAGCTTCAACAGCTCAACTAGGAAGCACTGTCCAATTCCCGTGACGAAGAAGCAAATAGCTGTGGGAGCCTCGACCACTAGACGCTCGAGAACTGTGCTGCATCGTCTGATTCGGCGGCCTTTCATACGCGAACGTTTCATGCATCGCCACCGCGAGTTTTTGTGGGAATCTGGTTCCAGTCCCGAGTCAGTGGCTCAGCCTCGCCGTGCGACCCAGCTTTATGGCCTTTGTATGGAAGGGTAATAGGGGCACGGCATAGCGATTGACGGTGTCTGCAAGCAGGGCGTCTCTGTGTTGATTACGTCTTTACCAAGAGGAAACGCTGAAACGTAGTTGTAGCTGTAGCATGTCGTCGATGATGATCATGTCATGGACAATTGCCGATGCCGATTACAAATTCTTTGACGTCCTATTACTGTTGCTGGTAAGAGAATGCCGAGCCAATAGACCAATAGCCTGATATACAAATTAGCACTACCACCTGGGTGGTAATACTATTGCTAGTAGTATTACCGGACTATGGAATCCGGAATGAGACGCTGAAGCCGTACGAATGGCAATACGCCCTGAAGTGCTCCACATACAGACCTGTTACATGCCGCCCCACTGCAGAGGGCACGAGACGCACCTATCAATTCATTCAAGGCTGAAAAGAGACCTCACTACTCGCAGCTACAAGGCTACAGGCACAGGTACTCTCTCTTCTCTCTCTCTCTGTGTGTGTGTGTGTGGCCGTATTATTCTGGGCTCATTAATGTATCCCTCCTCCACTACACCCATAAGTACCGTACATGCACGTGTAAGTGGGATGGATAGCTGCAACTCTCAAGTAGCGTACATTCTAATGCCAGCTGCATACGAGAAAAGGAGGCAATTGCAGGTAAAGAGAAAACTGTTCTTTTGTAATTGATTACGGGACAACAATGGCATCGCCAGATCAGGCGCAAATGCAACGCTGTGGCGCTCCAGAGCACGTATAGGAAGCCTGAGCTGGGTCGAGCTGAAAACTCGCCGCAGGGATCTGAGGAAGCTTGTCTCCCATTGCTTCCGCATTTCAGTGTGACTTTCAGCTAGGGATGTTGAGAGCTTGTCCCCCGTCCCGCTCTTCCTGCAGCTTTGAGTGCAAGCCTCTTTTTCTTCATCCACTCTACAGTTAATCAGGCATTTGTTGTCTCAGTTGAGCTGTGGGTATTTCGCCGGCACAGTGACCACGTTAACCGCCAAATCCATGGGTCCGTGATGACATGATCACCCCGAGGTGAACACTCAAGTACATGTACCTATGTACTCGTGTGGTTCTACTCAGCTGCTATACTGTAGGAGATCCAATGGCACGCAAAGGACACAGCTGCAACATGCTGCCACCAGATACCGGATAGTCCTGCAATAAATCTGGACGTGGAACTATTGAGGTCCGCAGGCAGGTACTTGTATCGTCAACATGCAGGGTGCCAGTAGTGTATGTAGTTGATGCTCCCTTCCAAGCCGCCAATACATGTAGGAAGCTCAGCGACAAAATTGAATGGCTATACTAGTAGCTACACGCACTTGCACATAGATACCAGATTCAATGGCTTCAAGTCCATGTTGCCGTTGGCTGCAGGCACGGGACGGCGCGGCTTTGCGACAGCTGGACTGGCCGCGGTATCCGTTGCATGTCCACTCTTCCCCCTCTCGCTTTCGCTTTTCCAAGGGACCGTCGCCGCATACAAAACCACGGTGAGCCGCTCCGATAGCCGCCACATTCGCTGTTTGCTCCATTCAACTATGCCCAGCGCAGTCTAGAAGAAGGCCCCGACGTCAAATAGTCGCAGACCTGCAGCAGACTGGCTTCGGCATCCTCTGCTGCTAGAAAGAAAGGCGGCAGCAAAGGGTCGCACTGTTGGCGGTGGACGCCCCTCGCCTTTCACAATCCCGGGCGAGGCTGCGAGATGATTCGCCGGGCTGACGTCGAGGCTACAGGACAGGCCGCGGTGGCTACGAATCAAGCAACGCGCGGCCCATGCAGGCTGGACACCAGACGGCTTCGCTGCACGACTACATGACTACATGTACCTCGTACTGTAGCAGTTTGGGGTCGGTCGGTGGTTTTAATTCCCTCTTCAGCTTTGCTTTCCGCGGGTTTGGCAGCTGGCGTGTGCCCAGGGCTGCGGTCCTGGGAGCTATGTGGCATCATGTTCAAATGTTTGCTGCTGAAATAGTGGTGGGTGGACCAAGGACTGGAGGCTGCATGAAGCTTCAGTGTCGTATCAAGCGAGGCACTGCAAGATGAGGGTGACACCAGGCCTCAGCACATGAATTATTACGTATTGATACATGTACATGTAGTCTCCGGGCTGGCTGTCAGTGCGCCAGACGAGATTGAGATTGTCCGTCGGTGGCCCTCCCTCAACTTCCAAGTTCTTACACGCGTGGCGTTTACAGAGCATTGCCAGTTGCTTGGACTAGACCTGCATGCTATCGTTGCTAAATATATCAACAGATGTGCCAAGGCGATAAGCTGAGCATTACCGCGCCGCAAATAAGATTGAAGACTATAAGGTTGTTGGGCAGGGACACTTGGGCGTCTCATCGAGATTCCTCATAGGCACATACACCATTACTTGAGGTACATATGGCAGTCAAGATGGCATTGAGCTTAGAAGAGTACAGCTGGCTTGGATTTTTGGGAGCTCGA